TGTAGTCTTATCTGCCACGCGGCCAAAAAGGGAGATTTTGGAGACAACAATCTCTTTTTGGCACGCTTGGTGGGACCCACCTTGGTTTTCACAAGTTTTTTGATCATATCTTTTGCTATTAGATTGTGCCACCATGGCAAGTCCTTATTTTGATTACTGCTAGAAGCTCTTCATGACTCCATCACATACTTCCCCTTATATCAATCCCCTTTATAATGAAAGGGCAACAATGGGCAGTGAGTCTTCCAAATCACTTGCTGAAATGATAGTTGATTTTGCTGAAAAATCTAAAAGGCTTCATAAGGAACGCATGAGAAGGTTGGAGGAAAATTTGAAAGGATGCAAATTAAATCTTCCAGAACTTAAAACCCCTCAACCCAAAAGTGAGGTTTTAATGGAGGATTCAAAGAAGTGCCATGCAACCATGTTTCCAAGAACTCTAAAGCAATTTTGCAAATCGCAAAACGTGATAGAGATGCCAACTATAAATGAAGGTCAGATGACACTAAGGCTAGAGAGTAACCCCATGATCACATTCGAAGGGCATGAATCATAATTGCAGTGTGCTGCCCAAAGTCAGCAATGCCATGCAGCTTTGGAGGCGACTTCAACAAGTATGCCTCCAAGTTATTCTAAGTCTGAAAAGACTAATACTAGCAATAGTCCTCTTACACCTGGGAGGCATAAACCAACTCACGTGCAGACATGTCAGCCATCCATAAATGAAAGTCCATTTGATGGCCGACAACAAGTTGATGCTGCTAGACAAAAGGCACCATTTTGGCTAACATCAGTACATAAATTTGATAAAGTATCCACATCATCTATTTCTACTTCTTTTGAAACTAATGAGCATGTTCTTTCTACCTTGCTTAAGAAGTGTTCACGGCGACCATATTTTCCGAGTGGTCGAAGCCCTTCCAAGTTCAATTAGGGACAATGGCCGAAGGTGAAATATCCTTTTAAAGTTGTTAGTCTGAAGAGGGGAGTCATTTCTAGTCTTGGGGGGCAACCTAGTCAGATTGAACAACAAAGGTTGCAAGATCTTATTGTTAATGAAGTTCACAAAGCTACAAAAAAAGAAGCAGCAAGGTTTGTGCCATTTCAGCCTGATGCCAATTCAAGCATCCAATCAATGCCACCACAACAAAAGCATGTATGCAAGCCTAGTCCACCTCAGCAGCTTGCAGACACATTGCCAAAGGCCACTCAGGTGGCGTGTAGGCCACCATGTTGTCCAACATGCTGTAGACCATATTCAAAAAATAATGATTCTTTCCAAAGTGGCTTTCACAAAAAATTCTCAAATTTTCCTTGTAGCCACAAGGATAACATGAGAGGTGGCATAAGAAACACCATGCCTTCGCATCTGCCAAGTCGAAAAAGGAAGATGAAATCTAAAGACTTCAATTGAACACCAAAGAAGGAACAAAAGCAACAAATCCATGTCTCTAAGTGGAGGCATGAGGAGCATGATCTTGTAGACAAGCATAGAGGCATGTGCAAATGCTGCCTCTATAAACAAAGTCAATTTAGACATTGTCACCATATAAACTTGGTGGCCTACCCAAAGTTCCCTACCCAAAATCCTAGGACTTTTCAAAGGCGACTTAAAAAAAAAAGAGCCAAAGAGCGTTAGAGGCATGTTGTTCTCAAGGTGCATGTTTCCCAATGGCAGCAACCTCTAGAGAGGCAAAAGTTTATTTGGGTGGAGAAGAAGAAACACAGTGCAACCTCTCAAGAGACAAATTAGAATTTAGTTAATGCAGTCGCGTCTCCAAAGATGTCTACCAAGCATGTTTCTTTCAAGTCAAATGACTTAAAGGCAACTAAGGAGCTTAATATCAACAACTAAGCAATTAGCCTTGGTGAGTTTATTATTGAACTTCCAAGTTCCATTCCAAATCTCCTTTTTGTTTTCACAAGGAAGCAAGATGCAGCCTCTGGTAGCAAAAAGGCAGCAAAGAACAAAGCAAGCATGTTTGCTGAAGAAAACAAAGGGACGGATCATAAAAAGGATGCTGCAACCTTTGTTCCAAGAGGAGGAATGTTGCCGTCAGTTAAAAGCATGTCACCTAAGAGACATTTTGCTAGCAATATGAAATCTTTGCAAATGCACAAGGCATTAGATGAAGGCACATACTAGCAACAAAACCTTGATGGTAGTCTGCACCTCACAAAAATAAATGGCTTACCTTTTCAGCCATGTTGCCCTTTGGTCTATAAGTTATGTAGTAGATCGAAGTGGAAATAATCTCTTTGCCCAAGTTAGGTTTGGGTGGAGATTAGTTTCAATTTAGTTTTGTTTTTAATTTTCTACAATTAGTGTGAATAATCTTGCAGTTAAGCGGCTTTAAGGAAGGCTATGAGATGGCATTGCTTTTAAGATATGCTTTCTATGGAGGCCTGCTTCATTTATGTTTCTAGGTCAGCTAGAAAGCAAACTCATAGAATTGTTCTTTTTGGAGGCTATAGTTTTCCATTTTTAGTAGATACACCTTTAGCTGGCTTATTTATCTATGAAGCTGCTATATCTGTCAGTTGTGTTTGTCAGATGATATTCCATACTATGCTGAAGAAAACAACAATCTTAAATTTCTACATTCTTGGAGACATCATGCTTCCTTTACAATGGCCACATGGTGAGGAGTGCTAGGAACAAAATTTTCAAAAACTTGATTCCACTTCCATGAAGTCGTGCAACCAAGTTTTGGGGGGCATTGTTTACACC